GGGACAAGACAGGAAGGGGAACTTTAAGCGAGAACGAACAATAGGTTAATAAGGGCTTTTAGCCACAGGTGAAGATTTGAGTCTTTGAGGCTTTGAAAGAAGAGTTGAGGACATAGCCGAGAAATGGAAGACGACGAAGTAGTAAGTATGGAAAAAGGAAATAGGTAGGAACAAGAGAGGTGAAGATTTCGAATGGGCTTGCCACAAAGGGCACAAGAGGGGGAGGGGGTAGCCGGGCAGTTCTGGAGTAGGGAAAGCCATGCAAGTCTTCCTCAGAGTTGTTGTTGGGTCACTATCATAGTGTACAAAGTTTTCCTTTTTCTTAAAACAGCGGATTTCGATCTCGTAAGAAATCTGGGCAGCGGCGAAATATGTAGGGGAAGACAAGTTGAAGGTTGACTCAGCTGTGATGCAGAATGGACATTCTGCCGGTGATCTATATTTGACTGCTTGACCAGAGTGCCAGCAATGTCTAAATTATTGAGGTGTTGGACGCAGTTCTCGCACCTCAACGGTGACCCGAAGTATTAATTGAGGATGGAAGAACTCGGCAATCAAAGGTCAGTTTGACAATATTGCTTATACAACGTATGCGGCCTCCAGCGAGGCGAACATAAGCTTCCACTCAGGAGATGGGGACCTCAAGTTGCTCTTGGACATATTGGCCATGTTGCATAAATCCTTGCCGGACAACAGTGTGCAGGAAGAGGACAGCACCTCAACTTGAATTGAAAAAAAAAATTGAGTATTGTGGGAGGTGTGTTGTCAATAGAGGTGTCATGAGAAGGATTGCCAGCTAGTCCAGCATCCGTTACAGAAACGATAATACGCATCCTACTCTTTAGGATGCTGAGAGATACATTATGACCAACATGTCCCCTGAGAGCTATGCTTGAGCTAATGCTGTGGTCAGTAAGGTAATGAGTAGGTGTCGTTGCTTGGAGGAAGAAGAACTGTGTGCAAGATTGCCTTTGAAATACGTCTGCGATAGAGTAAGAGGGTCCCAGGTGGCTACTTTCTTATGATGTGAGTGTGGTGGGACAGTTCCAGACTCAGACTCGTTTATTACGAGTCGGGAGCGTTCGGACGAAGGTGCTGGAGCCATTCTGTCCTTCGACGATCGAAGAGTCTGAAGACTGATTCTGTTTCGCAAGAGATCTTGGTCAAAGTAGTGTGAAGGTCAAAGGGGTGAAGAGGATCAGTGACCACGAACCTTTGAAGGAAGGTCTGTGGGCGTGAAAAGGTCAGGTCAGGTGAAGTAAGGGTCAGGAGCTCACCAGGAGGCAAAGCATGAATAATTTTTATTCATAGTTGATTACGTTCTTTTTCAGTTTTCATAAAATAGGGGGAAGGAGGGGCAGCTCTGAGGGGAAGGAGGGGCAGCTCTGAGGGGAAGGAGGGGCAGCTCTGAGGGGAAGGAGGGGCAGCTCTGAGGGGAAAAAACGTAAACCTCGGGATCCACGGTACACCAGGAACCCTGGTATTTCAGGAACCCTAGTACACAGGGGACCTTGGTACACCAGAGTTCCTGGTACACCAGGAAACCCTGGCACACCAGGAACCCAAGTACACCAGAAACCCTGGCACACCAGGAAACTTTGATATACCAGGAACCCAAGTACACCAGGAACTCTGGTACACCGACAACCCTGGTACACCAGGAACCCTGGTACACCAGGAACCCTGGTACACCAGGAACCCTGGTACACCAGAAACCCTGGTGCACCAGGAAACCTTGGTATACCAGGAGCCCAAGTACACCAGGAACCCTGGTACACCAGGAAACCTTGGCATACCAGGAACCCAAGTACACCAGGAACTCTGGTACACCAACAACCCTGGTACACCAGGAACCCTGGTACACCAGGAACCCTGGTACACCAGGAACCCTGGTACACCAGGAACCCTGGTACACCAGGAACCCTGGTACACCAAGAACCCTGGTACACCAGGAACCCTGGTACACCAAGAACCCTGGTACACCAGGAACCCTGGAACACCAGGAACCCTGAAACACCAGGAAACCTGGAACACCAGGAAACCTTGGTATACCAGAAACCCTGGTACACCAGGTACATCAGGTACCCAGGTACACGAGTCACACAGTCAACATTGCCAGGGGCTACATCGTTTTCCTGGACTATCGGTTTTTCTTTGCGTACTAGAAGCATAAAAGTGTACCAGTGAACTTACAAAGTACTCAGACGAGGATGATGTTTGTGTATTTACCCGGCTGTTTCCGGGCACCCGGCTGTGTTGCCGGGCACCAGACTGTTGCTGGGCACCCGGCTGTGTTGCCAGACATCCGGCTATGCTTCCTGGAATCCGGCTGTGTTGCAGGGTACCAGGCTGTATTGCTGGGCACCCGGCTGTGTTGACGGGCACCCGGCTGTGCTGCCGGGCACCCGGCTATGTTGACGGGCACCCGGTTATGTTTACGGGCACCCGACTGTGTTGCCGGGCACCCGGCTGTGTTGCCGGGCACCAGCCTGTGTTGCCGGGCACCCTGCTGTGTTATCTGGCATCTGGCTGTGTTGCCGGGAACTCGGCTGCGTTGCTGGGTACCAGGCTGTGTTGCCCGTGATCAGGCTGTTTTGCCCGTCATCAGGCTGTGTTGCCGGGCACCCGGCAACACATTCACTTAGTCACATTCACCTAGTCATATTCACTTAGTCACATTCACTTAGTCACATTCACTTAGTCACATTCACTTAGTCACATTCACTTAGTCACATTCACTTAGTCACATTCACTTAGTCACATTCACTTAATCACATTCACTTAGTCACATTCACTTAATCACATTCACTTAGTCACATTCACTTAGTCACATTCACTTAGTCACATTCACTTAGTCACATTCACTTAGTCACATTCACTTAGTCACATTCACTTAGTCACATTCACTTAATCACATTCACTTAGTCACATTCACTTAGTCACATTCACTTAGTCACATTCACTTAGTCACATTCACTTAGTCACATTCACTTAATCACATTCACTTAGTCACATTCACTTAGTCACATTCACTTAGTCACATTCACTTAGTCACATTCACTTAGTCACATTCACTTAGTCACATTCACTTAGTCACATTCACTTAGTCACATTCACTTAATCACATTCACTTAGTCACATTCACTTAGTCACATTCACTTAGTCACATTCACTTAGTCACATTCACTTAGTCACATTCACTTAGTCACATTCACTTAGTCACATTCACTTAGTCACATTCACTTAGTCACATTCACTTAGTCACATTCACTTAGTCACATTCACTTAATCATATTCACTTAGTCACATTCACTTAGTCACATTCACTTAGTCACATTCACTTAGTCACATTTACTTAATCACATTCACTTAGTCACATTCACTTAGTCACATTCACTTAGTCACATTTACTTAATCACATTTACTTAGTCACATTCACTTAGTCACATTCACTTAGTCACATTCACTTAGTCACATTCACTTAGTCACATTCACTTAGTCACATTCACTTAGTCACATTCACTTAGTCACATTCACTTAGTCACATTCACTTAGTCACATTCACTTACTCACATTCACTTAGTCACATTCACTTACTCACATTCACTTAGTCACATTCACTTAGTCACATTCACTTAGTCACATTCACTTAGTCACATTCACTTAGTCACATTCACTTAGTCACATTCACTTAGTCACATTCACTTAGTCACATTCACTTAATCACATTCACTTAGTCACATTCACTTAGTCACATTCACTTAATCACATTCACTTAGTCACATTCACTTAGTCACATTCACTTAGTCACATTCACTTAGTCACATTCACTTAGTCACATTCACTTAGTCACATTCACTTACTCACATTCACTTAGTCACATTCACTTAGGGTCGTAAATCACAACAAAACTACACATATCTTAACCTAACAATTTCCCACTTCAAAAAATCCTTCACTATTTTTTTTTTCACATATATCATTCACTTTTTTTTGGTCTATTTGCTGTACGTTGTTGCCCGCTAATGTTAATATGATGAAGACAATAACAACAGTGGCAAACTTTTGTCAAGACACTGGCAAATGATATGCTAATGATATGCGAGTGATTTGCAAATCATATGCAAATCATATGCAAAGAATATGCAAATGACATGCGAATGATATGCGAATATGTAAATGATATGAAAAAATTATATGTAAATGATATGCAAATCATATGCAAATGACATGCAAAATGATATGCAAATTATATGGGAATCATATGCAAAGCATATGCAAATGGTATGCAAAAAATATGCAAATGATATGCGAATGATATGTAAATGATATGAAAAATTATATGCAAATGATATGCAATGATATGCTAATAATATGCATATTATATGGAAATGATTTGCAACTTAATGATATGCAATACCGTACCTGCAAGACATCATTTTCCCCTCTCTGAAATTTCCTCCGCTTTAAGACTATGATTGCGGGGGTTTCCACCGCCTCTCCCTGACTACCGAGATCTTTAGGGGTTAACAGAAAATAACTCCAAATAAGTAAGATATTCTATGTGGGGGGGGGGGAGGGAGGGGAGGCTAAGGTGGCATTCTGGATAAGGGGAAAGAGGGGAAGGTAAGGTTAGGGAGGGGTAAAGGGTAATGAGGAAGCTAAGAGAAATCTAAGTAAAGGGAGTAGACTGGCAGATGTTGTGGTGTCAAGGGGTTATAATTAATAAGTATTCTACCTCACATGTATTACTGAGGTAACAGGGAGGAGGAGGGAGGAACAGAGGACAGGGAGAACAGGAATGAGTGTGGGAGATGAGAGAGAGAGAGAGAGAGAGAGAGAGAGAGAGAGAGAGAGAGAGAAGAGAGAGAGAGAGAGAGGAGAGAGAGAGAGAGAGAGAGAGAGAGAGAGAGAGAGAGAGAGAGAGAGAATCAAGAAAGCTATATAAAGAGTTGGTCAGAGAGACAAACAACTTGCTCGTTATCATCAGTAATACTCACGCCCCTGGACACATCCGGTGAGGGAGAGGAGGTGAAGGACAACCAGTGTCCTTAATACCGTCCATGATACATGAGCTGTCCTTGCCATATCCTGCGACGCTCCTCCACCATCCGACGCCACGTCCGACGTCCCATAGGATGACTCTCTCCGTTTCGTCGCAGCCACAATCTGACGGCCCCTTGGGCCAAGTGATCTTCCCACAGCATCCAACGTGAATCTCATCTCAACACAGCTTTGAGCTGTACGTCATTACGTTTGTCTCGGATGCCCTACTGGGGATGGGGAGGGCAGTGTGTGACTGCTGGTGTAGTGGCTGCTGGAGCAGAATACGACTGGTGGGGCTGTGTATGACTAGTGGGGCGGTGCGTGACTGCTGGAGCAGTGTATAACTGGTGGGCAGTGAGGGAGAGGCAGCGTTCAGCGTCTATATTGATAGCTTCTGTTTACAATTTATTAAGATGTTCTGTAAAATAAGTCAGTATTATAACAAGCGTAATTTAATTTAGCCTAATCCAACTAAATATAATTTAGATAAGTTTATAATAACTTAATAATAAACAAACACAATGAAATATATTTTTTCCTTAGGTTCCGAATGATTTTTGCGAAATTATTACATACCCAAATTTTCGCTTATTTTATTCGGCAAGAAGAACGTTGCTATTTAAGCCAAAATCGCAAGTTTAACTCATTCGGCACGATATGAGTTACATATATATATATATATATATATATATATATATATAATATATATATATATATATATATATATATATATATATATATATATATATATATATATATATATATATATGCAATAAGATCACAGTAAACAGGTGATTTTAAAATATGCAAAACAACTACTATGAAAGAGTAGTGAAGTTCCAAGCGCTTTCGTGACTACTCACATTGTCAAGGAACTATGAAAGTAATACATCAAAGGAAGGTATATAAAGGGTCTAGACCACACCTCACAGTCAACTCCCATAACAAAAGAAACACCTGACGCGCGACGATACCCGACTCATAAGAAAAGAGGAACACTGCAGTAGGTCCGCTGGTCCAACTAGACAGGTCCTCACGACATCCCACTAACAAAATATTCTACCCAAAAATTAAGATTTATTATTTGTCCAATGTATTATTAAATTCTTCCCAAATTTTATTAATTATAAATGAATCTAATTTATATAAACCAAAGGAAATATTCATATTATTGTCCAAACTGCTTTTTATGAAACAAGATTCAATTACATTTCTGTCAACCATCGACTTGCTTGATACTACTTTCTCAACTTTTTGGAAATCAATTGGATGGTTAAAATCTCGTACGTGAATAAATAGAGCATTGGAATCTTGTCCAGTTCTAATGCTATATTTATGTTGTTTTAATCTTAGTTCGAGATTTTTACCAGTTTGACCGTAATAAACTTTATCGCAAATTTTACAAGGAATCTTATAGACACATCCATCAGCATTTTGTGGGGAATTCTTTATCAAAAGTTTTTTTACTGTATCAAGATTTTTTAATACAACTTTAATATTAAAAGACTTAAGAAGAGAAGGCATATCAACCAAGTTTTCATGGTAAGGGAGAACCAACATATTTTTAGTTGAATAAGGCTGGTTGTCCCTTTTTGGATTGTAAAAAGTATTCCTAGCAACTTTAAAAGATTTATCAATTACGTTTCTTGGGTATTTTAGATCATTAGCTATTTCATAAATTTTGGATATTTCCTCATCTATGAACTCAGGACCAAAAATACGTAAAGCTCTCAAAAACATTGATGAGAAAACAGACAGTTTAACTCTATCTTGATGTGAAGAATAATAATGGACATAGGAACAGTTATTTGTAGGTTTTCTGTAAATTTTAAATTTCACTACTCTTTCATAATGGTTGTTTTGCATATATATATATATATATATATATATATATATATATATATATATATATATATATATATATATATATATTATATATATATATTATATATTTTGTCTCTACGTCCACAGCAGGACTCGAGCCTGCAAACTCTGTATCAAAGTCTACAGTACTTTACCACGGAGCCAGACTCCATATATACATGTATATATATATTCAACACCACATCTGTAGTCTCCCACTTAGGCAGGTGACCCGAAAAAGAGGAAACAAAAGTTTTTCTTACATTTAGTAATTTATACAGATGGGGCTCCTAACCCTTTGCTCCTGATAACTTTTCAGTTTCTCCAAACTTTTTGCGATGCGTTTAAAAATAAAACACTCTGATTGTCAGTTTTTTTTATGATCAGTGATTCATGGCAGTTACAACCAGGGATATATGATCAGGGATTTGCTAAAACCTAAGCATTAATGGAAGTAACCAGGTTCACAGCAAGCCTACAAACAATAACGATCTCACACACTTCTACTCCAGCCAAGATACTAAGATCAAGTGATGCATCGAATTTTCAGCCCAGTTTCTTGACATACACCAGACCTTCAATAAGCTACAATTTTCTTCTTTTTTTTTCATCAAGAACTGCTGGAAAAGAGTCCTCCATATCACCAGTTCACCACGCATTAACACCGCTTTAAAGAAACAATAGCTAGTTTGCCTTGAACGTCTCCAAAGTACTTGCACGAGCCAGCACTAGAGCTGCATTACAACCAATCCCTCCATCACATAGCTGACCAGGACCAGAGTACAGCACCTTGAACCAATCAACGTAGGTGTTTACATAATTCCTTGAGGAGGCTGTGACAAGATATACGTCGGTGAAACAGGACGTACTGTACAAACACGTCTCAATGAATATATTAATGCTTGCAGAAACGACAACTTGAACAACGCATTTATGCATCTTAGAAACTTCTCCAGCCATCTTATGAGAATCAGCTGCGACGACTAGTGATCAAAGAGGTAAACTTCCGTAGACGTAAATGCCTTGGGTAATCTTTAATCGCCATTTAAGACATCAGTAAACAGAATAAAGGTAACTTCGTCATTACTGGAGTATTAGTCAGAATTCTGCTCAGAACAATAAACCCTGCCATTATACAGCACCCTAGAATTACCTCCCCTCTTTCTACTACTACTACTAGTACTACTACTACTGCTGCTGCTGCTGCTGCTGCTGCTGCTGCTGCTGCTGCTGCTGCTGCTGCTGCTGCTGCTGCTGCTGCTGCTGCTGCTGCTGCTGCTGCTACTGCTGCTACTGCTGATACCAGGAGAGTGGAACACCAACATACATCCAGAACTCATAAGTACCAACAATACCTGTGTCATCTACCAACACAACAACACTTGTGTCATCTACCAACAGAACAATACTTGTATCATCTACCAACATCAGCCTTCACAACAACACCTGTGTCATCTACCAACACCAGCCTACACAACAACACCTGTGTCATCTACCAACACCAGCCTTCAAAACAACACCTGTATCATCTACAAATACCAGTCTTCACAACAACACCTGTGTCATCCACAAACACCAGTATACACAAAAACACCTGTGTCATCTCCATCACCAACGTATACACAAAAACACCTGTGTCATCTACCATCACCAACCTTCACAACTCGTGTCTTGAAAAAATCAGACTCACCATGAACGAGGATAATAAAACAGGGAGATGTCTAGAAGCAGCTTTGATCATAACACAAAACATCACTGATCATCAAGAACTCTTTGTCAAGGCCCTCCCTCTTACAAGGCACTTTCTTAAAAGTCACAAGCAGCAACCTTTAGCTCGTCTGGAATCTCATCCTGAGTTCTTTGCTCCTCAGCCAGCCTCTTCATTTCCATCCTTCAAGGGTGGCGTCTAGATGTTGGGATCTTGATCTAAGCAACTGGATCAAGTACCATCCTTAGTATGATCATCACTGGCTTTGCGGTATCTAATAATAATAATAATAATAATAATAATAATAATAATAATAATAATAATAATAATAATAATAATAATAATAATAATGCACAAGGGCAGGTGTCAATAATGAGCCAAGGGCAGGTGTCAATAATGAGCCAAGGGCAGGGCTTGTGTTGACCACCTTGCTTCTGACACAGTTATAATGACCTTTAATTAAGAGGAACGCTGACCTCTCTTATGCACAAACACAGGAGCTCCAGGAATTACTTTTTTTTTTACAGCCAGGCAGCTACTGATGTTATGTTGCTGGTGTGGGAACAAGTGTTGACAGGTGTGCTGGCAGGTGTGGAGGGTGATGAGGTGTGTTATTCGACTTGCTAGGTGATCAAGTGCACTGGCAGGTGATGTGGGGTGATCAAGTGTGCTGGCAGTTGTTGTGGGGTGATCATGTGTGCTGGTAGGTGTTGTGGGGTGATCAATGTGTGCTGGTAGTTGTTGCGGGGTGATCAAATGTGCTGGTAGGTGTTGTGGGTGAACAAGTGTGCTGGTAGTTGTTGCGGGGTGATCAAATGTGCTGGAAGGTGTTGTGGGGTGAACAAGTGTGTCGGCAGTGTTGTAGGGTGATCAAGTGTGCTGGCAGGTGTTGTGGGGTGATCAAATGTGCTGGCAGGTGTTGTGGGGTGATCAAGTGTGCTAGTAGTGTTGTGGGGTGATCAAATGTGCTGGCAGGTGTTGTGGAGTGATCAAGTGTGCTGGTAGGTGCTGTGGGGTGATCAAGTATGCTGGTAGGTGTTGTGGGGTGAACAAGTGTGTCGGCAGTGTTGTTGGGTGATCAAGTGTGCTGGCAGGTGTTGTGGGGTGATCAAGTGTGCTGGCACGTGTTGTGGGGTGATCAAATGTGCTGGGAGGTGTTGTGGAGTGATCAAGTGTGCTAGTAGTGTTGTGGGGTGATCAAGTGTGCTGGCAAGTGTTGTGGGGTGATCAATGTGCTGGCAGGTGTTGTGGGAGTGATCAAGTGTGCTGGCAGTGTTGTGGGGTGATCAAGTGTGCTGGCAGGTGTTGTGGGGTCATCAAGTGTGCTGGCAGGTGTTGCGGGATGATCAAGTGTGCTGGCAGGGGTGGGTGATAAGTGGTGATCAAGTGTGCTGGCAGGTGTTGCGGGATGATCAAGTGTGCTGGCAGGTGTTGTAGGGTGATCAAGTGTGCTGGCAGGTGTTGTGGGGTGATCAAGTGTGCTGGCAGTGTTGTGGGATGATCAAGTGTGCTGGCAGGTGTTGTGGGGTTATCAAGTCTGCTGGCAGGTGTTATGGGGTGATCAAGTGTGCTGGCAGGTGTTGTGGGGTGATCAAGTGGGCTGCCAGGTGTTGTAGGGTGATCAAGTATGCTGGTAGGTGTTTTGGGGTAATCAAGTTTGCTGGCAGGTGTTGTGGGGTGATCAAGTGTGCTGGCAGGCGTTGTGGGGTGATCAAGTGTGCTGGCATGTTGTGTGATCAGTGTGCTGCAGTTGTGGTTATAGCTGGCAGGTGTTAGGGTGATCAAGTGTGCTGGCAGGTGTTGTGGGGTGATCAAGTGGGCTGGCAGGTGTTGTGGGGTGAAT